TCATGATCCCAGGCGGGATAAAAAGGCAATTTACTATCTATAGGACTGTGGGTACACTGGTAATGGAAGAGAATCATTCTTATACAAATAACTCAGTGTTTGAATCTGAACTATCAAATGAATCTGAGCTATAGCCAAATCAATTTGATAAACCATCAGAATATGATTGTACTGGCTCCAGCCTGCAAAGGCAATGCATTAAATTTTCCCCACAGGAAACTGTTTCCCAAGAAAACAGCAATTGCTTGATTGCTTAAAAAAAGCAGCTTGAGTGAGTTCAGAATATCAGGTGAAAACTGAGATGGCTGTTGCTGTTCAAGGTCAAGGCTCATGGAGGGGATGCAAAGACGCTGCTCCTTTGAAAGGTGAGGGAGCTTGTCTGCAGGCCCCTGGCTTCTTGCACTGATTTCTCTTTGGAAACACAGCTTAGTTTTGGACTTCTAGGAATTCAGCTCCTTGTTCATTTCTCAGCTGGACATTTTGCCTTCAGGAAAGAGCCAGTTTGGGTGGTTTCCCTGTAGCGTGTATAGAATCTCTGGGATATATTCACTGGGGGGGGACAAAGCCTGTGTGTTGGAAGATTTCATAGCTCAGCTTGTGGAAATGGTAGTTTGGAGACTGGGCCAGGCTTCCTAATTCTCAGCCTTGCTTCTAGGACAGGGATTCTCAGAGTGCGGTTGCCAGACATGCCAGTTCTTAAGCTCCAACCTTGATCTGAGTTAGGAACTCTTGGAATGAAAATTAGTCCTCTAAAGTTTCCGGGTGATGTTGCTGTATGATTTGAGTTTGGAACACAGCTCCCTCCCAGGGGACAGACTGTACCCACTGACTGTTTATGAAGAAGTATGGCCTTTTGCCTTAATCCAGTTCAGCTCTGCAAACCATCCTAATTCCTGAGCTCCCCATGGGGTTGCTGAGCCCTCTGCTGCAAATACATTGCAGTTCAATTTTCCTCTCAGCCAGATTCTGTTCCTGTCAAGCATTCCTCATAGACTCCGAGAGTACTTTTCAGTAAAGCTCCTCTATTTGAGTGTTGCTATCAGGGTCATTTGGGGAAAGGCATGTGATCGAAGACACGCTCGCAGCACTAGCGTGAGCAGCATCTGCTGTGGGCTGAGGCAGGCTACACACACCCCTGTGCCTTCTTACTCTATCCCATCTGCTTATGGTACCTGAAGTGAGCTGGGCCTTTTCACACCAACCTAAGTGGCCCTCAAGCCAACTGTAGATGCAGTGGGGTAGCAGGTTTTGGAAATGGGAACTGAAGTCGGCTATTTATTAGTTTGCATCCTAGGCTAGCAGGCAGAGAGGCTTGAAGGACAATTTGGACTAACCTGAAAGCCCCAGAAGGGGAGGCTTGATATTAAAGTGATCAACTTGTCCCTGAAGGGAGGAGAAGGAAACTAACAATTATAGGCTGGGCTCCTGGCCAGGATCTTGCACGTATATCCTCATGCATTGAGATAAAAAAGACATAAGAATGCACTACTCCTCTCTACTTCAGGAGAAGTGCTTCTTCATTCCATTAGATTTTCTGCAAATTTTATTCACGTAAAGTTCTGGATTTATGTGTTTCTGATGTAATGGGCATGGAAAGATAGGGCCTATAACTTAAAGACTCTGCAGACCTTCACCTGCCAGTGACATCCCTCTTTTGCCTGTATTCCTGACAAGTCTGACTAGCAATTTGTATTTTGTGGTCACATTCTCTTTGGGCTGTATTGGGGTTTGAACTGAGGATTTATACTTGCTAGGTAAGTGCTCTAGCACTTGAACCATTCCCCTAGTACTTCTGTTTTTAGTTTGTTTTTTCTGAGATGTACTCATGTTTTTATCTGGACCTGTTTTGAGCCATGATCTTATCTTTGCCCCCTGAGTATTTGGGATTACAGGAATGCACACAAATAAAGTGTGTGTATAAGTTGTCTATTCATTGTCTTTGCTGCACAGCTGGGTGGTGACACTGGTGATGCTGATGGCCAGATGGGTCATTTTTCCCATGATGTCTTTGCAGATCTTTGGATATACATTGTAGGTGACCTCAAAACCATCAATGGTTACAGAAGCACCTGTAGCTCTTTCAACTCCCAGAAGCACTGAGCAGCATGTGTTTGTTTGCATTTTGTTCCCATAACCACTGCTGGACATGAAGATATGGCCTAGAATTTTCCCTGCACTGTATTCTCAATACTTCTGGGTTTCCACATGTAAGACTTAATTTCTGCATATGGGTCTGAACTGGTAACAGATGCACCTTGGGTCCTCTTTGATGAACTTAAGCTTCAGGAGAGGACTGGATGCAGCTACAGTGCCCAGTAAGTGGTGGACCTCTCTGTAGGCAGTGCCAAGGAAGCTGTCTGTTCATCTTAAGGGCTAGGTTGTTTGTGCCTGGTTTAGCACCTACTTATATAACCTCAGAAGATGTTCCTCTGAGCTTTGTTTAAAAATCACTGATTTAAATTCTTAGGCTAAGAGGCTGTTATTAATGTTGATTTGTTACCAACTACAAAAGGCCTTCTGAATAACTTTTAGATTATTGAGTAGATATATTCATGCAATTATGATATGATGGGAATACATGGGAATATGAGGCAGAAGAGCTAGCTGCTGGTCTAATGTCTTTCTCTTATAGCTGTGGAATAACCTTTAATGGGTCATTTCCCTTCTTGGGTCCTGTTTTTTTTCAGCTAGGTAGTTAGCAAGTGTGGATGTCCAACATAAACAGTTTTAGAAGCTTTAGATTTAGTTTTAGGTGTTTTAGATTCAGCATTGTACCTGTCACTGTACTGGTCATATAAAAATCTACCCTATCACTTGCATACTCTGCTATGGACAAATAGTGGTGCCTATTTAGGAACATCTAAAGCTCTTAAGACTTTCAGCTAAGTGAAATGGACAAATGAATATATATATATATATATATATATATGTGTGTGTATGTATATATAGTAAAAGAACATTAGAAGAATTTTGTTAGTCTAATTGGCTCCCAGGTACTTTTAAAATCAAGAGACATTAGACATCTTAAGTTCTAGGTGCTGCGTATACTGGAATACCTGGTGTATAGTCTAGTACTCTGCATTTGTCAACCCAGATTCCTGCTTTGTACTTCATAGCACCTATCATGAGCTGTTGTATTAAACTGGATATTTGATAATTTTTGTCTCAATTCCTCCATGATGAGAATATAGGAGGAGTAATTCTTTTGTTTCTTGAAATGTGCATAATAAATGTCACAGGCTGATGTATACTTAAAATTTGATGAGTGAAATGTTTATATATGTTATATATATCACATATGTATTTTTTAAGCTTTAGGAAGTAATCAGAAATAGGTGTTACTGGCTTTGTCGATTTTTAGGTGAGGAAAACAAGGCTTAGATAAGCAAGGAACTGGTTTTAAATGGAGGTAGTCTGCTCTAATCATGTCAATGCTTTGTCCTTTCACGTATGTTGCCAATCTCAAGCCAGGAACTCTAGAACAATCTTTGAATTTGGTTAGGATAATAAATCTGTCTGAAAAACACGCATTCCTTTCTTCAAAGAGACAAAGTCCTAGTGTATGGGCACAACATACTATATATGATCAATAATAAACACTTCTGAAGTTCCTATACTATCATACAGAGTATATTCTAAGATGCATACCTTTCAGCTTTAAAGAGAGTATACACTATTTGATGGAAATACAAGTGATGTTGGTAGATTATAGTTTGATAGATAGCCATACATGGGAGTGTCTGTTCACTGCCAAATTTGAGGCATGAGTACATGGCTACCAAAGCCTGAATTAGGCAGGCTACATAAGAATCAGCTAGTAAATCTTTAGGTTTATTCACGTTTATTTCTTTGCCCACCATTCCTCCTTGTAACTTATTTCTTCCTTCTGTCAGACTTTCTTCTTCTTTCTGAAGTACATTTTTTGTTTAGGTTTTCCTAAGAGCCCAGAAAAACACATTTTAGAAAGCTCTTCGTTAATTGGGATACAGACCAAGTCATAAAGGCTATGGAGTGACAGAAGGAAGATTCTAAATGCTGAGGTCGTGAGGAGGTCTTGAAGAGGAGGAGGGACTTAGAACAGTCCTCAAGGGAAGCTGTCGCATAGATGTGAAGAGAAGGAAGGGAGGGGCTCATCTTTGGAAAAGATGAAAATGAAGAGGTACTAACAGGAGGAGAGTTTTTGATATAGAGCTGGAGGCACCAAATATATCTCAGTGAATCTGGAAAGAGGAGCCAAAGGTGATGTGTATTGGGATCTCACTGGGTTAAATCACATGTGTAGAGGTCTGCAAGTATTGAGAGTTTGGGAATAGAACTGAACTTGTCCTTCTAGGTAGAGACATATAGTAGAGTGATATCCTGTACCATAAATCAGACCAGTTTGGATTTACATATCTGCCACTGATGGCTCACACCTGTAATCCTAGTTACTCATGAGGCTGAGATCTGAGGATCACAGTTTGAAGCCAGCACAGGAAGAAAAGTTCATGTGAGACTCTTAAATTAGCCACTCAGAACTGGAAGTGGCATTGTGACTCAAAGTGGTAGAGCACTAGCCTTGAGCAAAAGAGTTCAGGGGAACAGTGCCCAGGCCGAGTTCAAGCCTTACAACCAACAAAACAAAACAAAACTTGCACAAACTCAAGTGGGTTAATTAACTCTTACAGGGAATCCAGGTTTCCCTTCTCTAAAAGAGAAGTATTACCTCCTACTACCAAGAGTACTGTAAGAATTAAATGAGAAAACACTGAACTTCTTAGAACGCTGCTTCACACTTAGTAAGTGCTCATTATGTTATCCCTTTTCTTCTTCTTCTTGCTGTTTTATTGAAAGTCAGATTATGAACCAGCCTTAAATTACTCCTAAAAATCTTTGTAGGTAACATGAATAAAAATGGACCTTTCTTGCCAGCATAGTTTAGAAGCATCTTTGAGCTGGAGAGAGTTGACTTCTAAACACTAACTAAGCTCTTCTGCACAGAAATGGAGGAAGTTACTCACAGTATGACTGGTCCGGAGGCTCCCTGGAAAACATCGTTAGGCAGTTCTTCCAGATTATTGTTATCACTTAGATTCCTGGGGATGGAGTTGAAGAAAGAGGAAGGGAAACACAAGATGACATTAATATCACTGTTGCTCGAGCCATTTCCTTCTCAATGGCCTGGAATAAGAAGTGAGGGCTACTTACAGTTCATCTAGCTGGGTTCCATTGAATGCATAGTTGTGTATTTCTTGAATCCCGTTCTTATTCAACCATCTGAAATAAAAGGCCCATTAAAAAACCAATAGTGTCAGATACAAACAATACAGGGGTTTCATAATTGGAAGCACTGGGGCAAGGTCAGATAGCACAGGTTAGTGGCATAAATAAAATGTCACCCTTAAAGCTTGGGGATAGGAGTGGGAGGGAGCCCAATTTATCACCATGTAACCTTTTGTAACTTTTGAAGTTTACATTATGTGCATGTATTATCTATTCAAAGGAAAAAATGAGCTTCATGGCAAGCAAGGTCTGAATGAAAATTTAATTTTAAAAAGACACACTCCCTGTATCCTGTCTTTTCATGTATCACATCATTCATGTACAGAAAATCCATTATGAGAGGAGCAGATGAAGATTGTTTCCGTCTTGAAGGGCAGAGATCATACAATTATTGAACAAATGTTTCTAAGACAGAGAAAGAAGGTTTTATGTCACCTTTCTCTAAGGCCATAAGATTTTCACCCACAGCAGCAGGCCTGACTGTCATCCAAAGGTGATCTAATTAAGTTGTCAAGCAACCTGGATATTTCCTGTGACCCATGGGGCCTTGGTTATTGGAGGTGGCTTTGGGTTATGTCAGAAAGGAAGAGAAATCAATTACAGAGACTGTGGGCTGTGGCAGGGCGAGGTGGTGTGAGTGGGCATGGGAGAGTCTTGAAGGGAGGGAGGAGGAGAGTAGAACAGTCATGTTCATTGTGCTAAGAAGGTCAGGGAGTAGGTTTGCCTGGACAGAGGAGCCCAAGGACACCTTGGGTGGACAGCTCTGCATTATTCTGCTCCTGAGTGAATCTGAAAACAAAAACAGACATCCAAGGTCAGGGAGCTTAGCCCGAGGAGCCTCTAACCACCTGCTCTTGTTTTGCTGTCAGGTTCTTTTCCCTGTCAGGCTCAGTGGGTTTACAAATAACACTGCTCAAAAAGCTGACCCAGAGAAGCAGCTGTGTATTCAAGACTTTATTTCCTAGACTGCAATGGGTAGTTAGAAAATGCTTAGAGTCGCAGGAGAGCGAATGTATATTTTTTTTAAAAAGACTCCTTCTGAAAACCAGCTGATTGAAAAAAACAATCCAGAGAGGTATAAAGTGAATCGGTTACAATATTAGCAACCAAATAGCAGATTCCGACGGTGAAGAAATGCCCATGCACCATCCTGTTTCCCACCTTTCATGTTTCTTTGAGCAACATTTAAACTCTAGACGTATTTGTCAGCCTGTCCCAGGGTGGTGATGGATGCTAGGGCAGATTCTCCTAGTGTTGGTGTTTGGTATCAAACCCAAGGATCCATAGTGAATTTTAGATCTGATGGCTTGGGTACTCATTGGATATGAATACGTTATATAAGTTCTTATAAAACAATATTCACAACATTTGTTGATTGAATTTGAAACCTAAGGAGAATTGTGTACAACTATTATTTTCAGAGTCTGCTTTTGCAGGGAGGGGTGACACTTTGTTTCATTTAGATTCCATGATAGTGTTCGTATCACTACAACGTAAAAACCACTCTTAGTATATGGGGTGGATTTGTCCTGGACACTCTAGCTGGCTGATTTTTAGTCTACCCCAAGGAGCGTGTGGATCCATATGGGTTCTACCTATTTATCTGTACATGAGAAAATTCATCTTCAGAGCACACAGGTGTTATGCAGATATTGCTATGATTAAGCAAAACTTTAAAAAAGAATGACAAATTCTCACCTTCCAAAGAACCCTTTGTCTTTATATGGTTTCTCCATCCACAGATACCACCATGTAAGAAGGGGATGGTATTAGTTTATGTCAATTTTGGGTTATTCATACAAAAGCCAAAGATGCCCAGAATCCCTGCCTTGAGGCTCTGAGCCACTGAAACTATGAATAAAAGGGAAGCCAGCATATATCTCTTAGTCTGTTAAGACAGTTCCAGTTTGACATCTGGATGGTGAAGGTGATGGTGATTATGGTAATGGTGATCTGAGCAGAGCAGATGCTAAAGAACAAGTACATCACCATCTACTTCAGTTCTGTTGCACTTCTGGGGTCAGGACTATGGCTTTCTCCCCAGAAGCCCATCCTCCTGAAGAATGAAAGCATAGATGATTTGCCATTTTAACCCACTGAGGGGCAGGCAGGCTAGCTGGAAGCTACCTGGGGAAGGACGGAATGCCTTTCATGGGACTACACACAGAACCTCATTTTATGAATTCCAAATTAAGCCATTCTTCTAGGAGGCTGTTGCACTCTTCTGCTTGCTGTGGTAAAGGTGGTAAGAGGTAAGAGGCCTCTACTCAATGGTCTTTTTAACTGTTCATTTCCCTGAGTTTCTAGCCAAGTTCCTGATAACCCTTCATTGTTTGATGGTCTAAGAATACAAAGGTGTCTATTATAGAACAGGGCTTCAAATTTTCTATGGAATAGAAAACGTTTTTGGTCTTCAGTCTCCTTTGGCTCTGTGCTTTTCCCGGAGTGCACTTGGATGGCCCTCTTGGTAGAAACTAGTACCCTGTGTTAAGATGAAATACTTGAACTAAGAGCAACTGGAGGCTTCAACTGTGTTGTGCATGAATCTTCTGGTTTTGTGGATTAAGGACCAGCCAAGGTAAGAAACATAGCTGTTGTCCTCAAAAGTATAGATTTATCCTCTAGAGACATGTGTGAAAAAATGTTGAGTCTTTGAAGAAAACCATCCTCTCTTGAAAAGTATGTACCTAAATCCTATGTAATCAGTGTCCATAAACAGGAGTTAGTAAAGAAATAATCTATACATAGTCACAGGGGGGAAACAATGCAACAGCGATATACATAAGACAATATGTTGGAAATGACCTGTATAACTTGTGGGGGAGGTGGAGGGGGTGGTAAAGCAGGAGAAAAATGAGGGAAGGGGCAGCAAGTCTGACAAGAAATGTACTTATTATTACAACTGTGACCCCTCTGTACATCACCTTGACAATAATAAAATATACATACACAGTCACAACTGTTTAGAAAAACGAAATCGTGTGACCACACAAAAACAAAAGGCGTGCAACAATTTATAAAATGTAAAAGATAATTTTCCTTACAGATGTAATGTTGCAATTACTATTTCCTTCAATGTCTTTCCATATACATTTCACTTTCATGGACCCTATAAATTCAGTGCCCAGTTTCTTGGCCATTCTGAAGAGGAGGTGAACTATCAGGCTGGATACTGGCACAAAGGAGTAGAAGATTGTTCATTAACAATGCAGAGTACATGTAAAATCTTGTTGAGAAGTCACAGGGAGTAACTTGAATTCATTACAAAAATGTGATTTTTTTTTCCCCCAAGAAAACGAGAAGTCATTTTATGCTCAGCATGGGCTTGAGCAGGAGCTGCTTAATATGGTTATGAAGGAAGAGAGTTCTACTTCCAAAGTCAGCCTCTTTTCTGGACTTAAAAAATAATTCTTGGGCAAAAGAAGCCTTGCCAGGCAATAACTAGCTTTATTGATGCACAAGTTATTCTGTCTTTTGGAACAGATGCTGCATCACAGGAGACCATCATTCAAAGAGCAATTTTAAATACTTTGGTTCACACCATAGAATCATAAATGATTAGCACAACACCATGTTGTGATTTTGAGATATAAAGATGAGAGAAAAACAAAGAAACAGAAAGTTGGTGAAATACCAAAGTTCTCAAGCAAAGAAGGAGATCAGTAAGTGGAAAATCAAATGTTTCTCATTAGACTCCCTTTTCCCCATTTACTTACAGAATTACACTTTCGAAACTCAGTCCCATGAAAGAATTTCTTTCAATCATGTGAATGTTTATGTTATCTTGAATGTCTCTAGAAGGAAGTATAGACAATTAGACATTTATGTCAGCTCTACCCATGTAATGTTCCCATGCTTAGTTTACTTGACATGACAAGATTTTAATGGAGGTAATTAAAAATTTTATTTATGTATACCAGGAACAGAAGGTTACAATTACAAAGGTAAGGTAATGCATACATTTCTTTTTAAACATGGTTACCCCATCCCTCACTTTCTCCTGCTTACCATAGCTGAGATAATGTTTTAATATAGTTTTCTATTCAGAAGATATTGAGGCCAAAGTTTTGGAAACAAATGGCTTTCTTACCATTTCTTCTTAAAGATGGAATTTTGGACATGTGATACCTTCTCTCTCTGAAAGGTTTCTTAGCTAGTTACTGTGTCAAGATTCTCTCTGACATAGACACCAAAACTGGCCTGTTACTTCCCATACCCATTTCCTCTAGTCACCTCAGGAGGCCTTCCTCCTTCCATCTCCTTTCCCTTCTGATAGCTGTTTTTTCCCCTTTCTATTCTCCTTGAATTACAGAATAATTTCATCACTGATTTTTTTCCTCATAAGTTAAAGTTTGAGTTCTCATTTTTAAGTGTTATATTCCTAATTCCTTCCATCAAACTTTCCTATTAGGTCTGATCTAACATGTACATGTAGTAGTAGTAAACATCTTGAAGCAATTTGAGTTCTAGAAGATCCCTTTCCTACTTAACTTCCTGTTCTTTTTCTGTAGGATCTATTTATATTCTTACAATTTTACTATTAGAAATAAAATGACCAATGTACATTGCCTGTTCTCATCCTCTTTTAAAATATAGGCAACCTGGGAAAAGGCAAAGACAGCATGTTACTAACATTTTATTATGAATTGTCAGATAGGTTCTGTATGTATAGGGTAGTAAAAAAACCTGGAGGGAAAAGGAAAGGATGATGGAGTATGGTAGGGTTGTAGGAATGTAGTAATCAAGCATTAATTAGTGAGAAAATGAGAGATTGGTGACTTTGTCACAAGCTTGGTTTGTTAACACTTGTTGAGGAACCTATAGACTTCCTCCAAACTGAGACTGACTGTTCTGCAGGTAAAAACCAAGGACTTAGCTGCGTGCCTTCCTATCTTGGTTTACCCACAGCAATACAGTTAGGGGACGTAGGCAGCATAATGCATATTAGATGCCAAGGTGGCATCAGGGCCAGGTGGTTGAGTAGAGTCAGTAATTGTTTGCTATACTTTGGATCTTGATTACCCTCCAAATCCTGTGTATTGTATACATGGTCATTGGATCAATACTGTTTGGAAGTAATAGAAACTTTAAGAGATAAGTCCAAGTGGAAGGTCTCTGTAGGTCTTGCCCTACAGAGGATTGTGGGATCCCAGGGTTTTTTTTTTCCTTGTAATTTTCTTCCTGCCCATGAGTGGAAGGTTTTGCTTCTCCATGTGTGCCTGGATTGATGTGTGGGCCCCAAGCAATGAAGACTAATCAATATTAGACTGAACACTTTATAATAAATAGTGAACCAAAATCAGCCTTTTCTCTGTATAGATTAATTGTACCTTAGGCATTTGTTATAGTGACAGAAAGCTGACTGACACAATGTAGTTCAATGAAAAACTTACAGTAAAACCTTTTGGAGAGATTGAATCTTATGAACAGCTGGCAAATGCTTAATACCTGTGTTGGATATTAACCTAGGGAGAGACAAAGTGACAGTGAGGAAAAATGAAGCCACCATGTAAGCAGTGGCTAGACTTTAAATGTTGAACTATCGGAAATACATACCAGAAAAGCCTGTAATATACACAGATTATGATTATATTCTCTGTTTTAAGGTTCTAACCAGGATTTAGTAAACTGCTCACTATGTAGAGGAAAACAATTTATACTTCAGGCACCAGGATAGTAGTTTGCAGTTATAAACACACTTGATTGTGATAGATTGATATGTTAACATGCTTAAAAGTAATTTCCAACTACATAACAGAAATTTCTGCTGTTTCTAGCCTCAATATACTTGTTGGAGAATGCTCCTTCCACAATACGAATGGTTGTGTTGGGGTTAAGGAATAAGAGTCTGTCTATACCCTCTTACTCTGGATTATTTTTGTGATCTAAGCTGGGTCAATCAAACTCTCTTGAGAAGTGAGTGAAGGAAGTTGGTTAGAGCCAAGTCTTCTGCTGCTTTCACCCTAAGAGACAATGTATAAATTAATACTTGACAGTTCTAGACCTCCCATGAATCCTTCCCAAGAACTGATTGTCTAGGGCCTGAGAGCCTGAGATGAAGTTGAGCCTGTTGGTAATGGGAGGTGAGGGCATCCAGGACAGGAAGTGTGAATCTGAATGTGAAAAATGTAATCAAATTTAGGATGTATTATTGAGTTGGCTATTGCTACTAGTGATTGTTCATTAATTTCAAAGGCTTGATTTAGGAGATTTTCAGAACATATATTAGAATTGTTGATCTAGTGGAGGGGAAGGACTATCTATAGACTAATATTTCTTACTAGTTAAAGGCGACACCATGTTATTAATGCTCCACTTCTGGCTTGAATATTTATGAATACTCAATGAGTTCTGAATGAGCAACTCTTATCACATTATAGAAGAGACAGAGAATGAGAAATCTAAAAAGCCAGGTTAGGTGATGTCTAGTTTGTACCTAGATTTATCCAGATAAAATTTTGAGTTAAATGACAGTAGTGTCCAAGGTTAGTGAGTGGCACAAGAGAATTGTTTGACATTTTATTCTTTAGAATTTCCCTCACCCCTGAGTTATTTAAAAAAGTTCCACTATCTCTCAACTCCTATTTCTTCTTCCATGCCTTCCTTATCTAAACTGTAGTTGGTCTTGATTGCTTGCCACCTAAAGAACTCTTATGAGTTGTGAAGGAGTTTTGTATCATGTTGAGTTTATGGCTCTGAAATGGACTTTGGTGTCTTGTTCTCTGCATCTGTATCCAGAGACTTGGTGAATCCCCTCTGTGGGGTTATCCATAATGGTTCTCAGATGTTGAGTCCTCACTTGGTTCCACTGATGCACATGGAACTTATCTTGATGGTAACATCTTTGATTGCTTCATTTGCCTTTGAGATGGTATTTTGCTCTATTTGAGAGGGTTCTCTTGGGATTAGTTTAGTGTTAATTCTCCTTTAAATATTTTTTTAATTAAGTTTTTTTATTGTGAAAATATGTACAAAGGGGTTACAGTTACATGAGCAAGGTAATGAGTACATTTCTTATCCAGCATTGTTGCCTCCTCCTTTGGTTTTCACCTACCATCCCTTCCCTCCCACCTCCTCAGCTACACCCCCCATCCCCGACCCTCTCACCCCCCCCCCCCACACTCTGCCTAAATTGTGAAGTTCATTTTTCGACATAGTGTCTTGTACATCTCATTGTTGCAATGGGTCAATCTGTATCCCTATTTAAACAATTTGTTTTTTCCCTTCCCCTCCCCAAATTATACCAATGTCAAATACAATGAACACAGGGGTTATACCATGGGGGAGGGACATACAAAACAAAACAAAAAATCACATGGTACCTTATAAATACATTAGAAACAATAGCAAGGAAGAAAAAAACCCACTTGTGTCCTTATCTTGGGGTTCATTTTGCTTAACATCATCTTATCTGACCTTTTCTGCTTGTCCCAGACATGTTTTGATATCAAGGTCTGTGGGTGAAGATGAATGCTTAGCCATGTGATCGCTAGCACAATGTGGGTATGAAATGGTTCTATCTGCCTCCAAGTTCCCTTGTGTTTCCTTTTTGTAGTTAACCCTTCCCTAACCTTCAATTCATAACAACCATGGATCAGTTTTCTGTGACTATAGTTTGGCTTTCCCCAAAGTATCATATTCAGGAAATTATCTAATATGCAACTTTAAAAAATTGGCATATATTGATTGTACAAAGGGAGTTCATTGTGATATTTCCATACATATAAGCAAGCAGTGTATTTGATCAAAATCACCCACTCTATTATTGTTTCTCATCCCTCTTTTCCCCTTTTCTGGGTTTCATATGTTGCAAAGTATGCTAGTCATATTCACCCCTTCTTTTATCCTCTCTTTTTCCCTTTGCTGGTGCCGACTCTCAAACAGGGCCAGTTTTATACTCACATTAGTGTGTGTGTGTGTTTAGATCCTGTATATGAGAGAAAACATGAAGTATTTTCTTTTTCAGTATAGCTTTTTTAAAGTTAACACGTTCTCTAGCTCTACCCATTTCCTGCACACAATGCAATTTCATCTTTGGGTCTGGCTTCTTTCCCTTAGCCTGATGCATTTGATGTTCTTTCGTGTTGTTATGTGTGTCACTAGTTTCTTGTTTTCTATTCCTAAATAGCATCCAGCCTATGAATGTTCCACACTTTGTTTCTCCACCTGCCAGTTGAAGGATATCTGGGTTATTCCAATATGAAAGGAAAAGTAAATCATTTTTATATAGTTTAAGCATTTAATAATTTATATACAGTGTTTTTAAAACTGTCTGAGAATATAGAATTTCCTTTCTTTTGGATGAATACCTAGAAATTGGATTCTTAGATTGCATGATTCCATTTGCTCTGTATCTGTTGATTATTTAAAAACATATTCTTTGAAATCAAAGTAATATGGACTTCTTGTGACTTATGAAACGTAAATACATGCAGAAAAAATTACCTGAAGTCTCATTACTCAGACATAGCTTCCCTTAACATTTGGAATTTGAAGCATCTACAAAAATAGCTTTGATCATTACTCTCCATAGCCCCTGAGATTCTACTCATTTCTGAAAGAAACACTGCCATAACTTTAAATACCCATCCCCCCGCCCCCATCTCATTTAATCATATCTTCCTTCTACTATTTTTAGATCTCTTTCTATGTGTTTATTCAGTAGTCCCCTAGTGAGACATCAAACCAGGGACTGTATTTAATATTCTCTGGCAATATTCTTATTCTCTGTGGGTTTGGAATGAGGTATGGGCTCTTAAAACACTGGATTAATTGGTTGATATTTCTAAAAGATTTCTTGCTTTTGTCACCAAGAATGCATCAAAAACCCCTGATTTAGTTAATTTGCTTCTCAAATTGCATTAATCTTTGAGGTAATTAGTCTTTTTTTAAGTTATAATTTTATTATCATTAAGGTGTTCTACAGAGGAGTAACTTTCATAAGTGAGGTAATGAGTACATTTTTACGTTCTTTTTTTAAAACTTAAATTATCTTTAAGTAGTTGTACAAAGGAATTGCCATTTAAAAAAGCAGTTTATGAATAGAATGAATCTTGATCAATGTCATCCCTTTCAACATTTTCACACATCCCTCCTACCCATCCCATCTCTCACTGTTATTAAATTTATAGGACACACCTTGAATTCTTAACTGTATTCTCCCCCATAATTAGTCTTCTATAAAGGCAGGAATCAGGTAGACTTACATACCAATTCTGATACAAACTAGCCACAGCCATTTTATCTCTTCAAGCTACAAATGACATGGATTGTGAATATCAACATAGAGACTTATTGGTCCTGCTTCACATCCTGTTGACCTAAATTTTTACTGTAGCTATTTCTATGGCAATAAGCTATCATCAAACTTAACTTGAAAGACACCTGCTGTTGCGGGTTTCTCATCCCTCTTCAAGTGACACCTATGAGAACATGTTCAACCATCCTGAGGCCTTTGCAGATCTGGAAGTGCTAAGGAGTTAACATCCATCAGAACACTCTTGGGTGAACACCTTTGAATATATTCTACATGCTATTTTGATGCTAGCATGGTTTCTAATTATTTAGTATTGAACCTCTTGATAATGCATTCATGAGTTGCTTTCCTTTCCCTTTTTCTTTCACTCCAAGCCCTTTATGCAAATAAATAAACTACTTGCATGTAATTACTTGTGCAGACATTTTTTTTGAGAAGACACCAAATGCCACTAAATTTCACGTCATACATAGGTTTATTGATGATTGTTATCTTCTTTGACTTTGTATCTGTCTTCAGTTATACTCATCTAATTTCTCCTCCCTCATTGTTCATGACTTCACATTTAGAAAGTGTTGTTTGCATATACCATCTTAATTTATCTCCAGCTCGCCCCAATCTACTATCTGATATCTCCCTATGACTGTAGTTGTGTCCAAATCCACCAAATCACCAACTTCCAAATCTACTGAATGCTTTAAATTTTCTTTTTAAGTTTATCTGACTTTCTGGATTGTTATTCTCTTTGCTAGATTCTCTTCTCTTGGTTTCTGTCATGTTGTTAGCTTCAGTTCATCCTCTTTCTCCTCTATTGTTCTCTTTTAAGTATTTTCTGTTGTCTTTCTTCCATCTATTTGTATCCTAGGCATTTTGTATCTCTTTTTTATAGTTTCAGCTTGGTAGACCTTGCTTTTTAGGGCTTATGGAGTAGGAGTATTATGTAAGTATGGTGATCTTTACATTCATACTTACCATCTGACCCCTCTAGCCTGTCACTCATTAATGCTTGTCCTACTATCCTCCTGAATGTTTTATTGGCACAGCTTTAAGCTTTTCTCTTGACCATCAGCCCCACCCAGCTCTTCCTCCTCAATTGTTCGGCCACCTATTGTCCAGTCAACTGTCCATTAGAAATGTGATGAACTTGGCTTCTTCCTCATCTCCTAACATCCAGTCTATTTCTAAGTCTTCTTAGATTCCATTTCTGAA